ATTACATTTCACTAAAACAATAATGTTGAATTTTATTAGTCATTTATAGTATGTGCTTTACTTAGATCATCTAAATAATTTATATTACATCATGTCAGATGTTAAGCCTCATGTGAATGCAAACACCTCAATACTTGGTACTGGCGGTAACATTTGATGGGTCGTTTTTGTGTTTGAATGTGTCACTTTGAGCAAAAAATTTACTCGAAATGTCACAAAATGGCAAGTTACTAATACTGACAACAAAAATCGATGATAAAATAGTGTAAATAGCTGGAAAGTTGGAAACCAGTGAAAAATTAACCTCATTAATTATTCAAGGTCCAGTGCATGATGGGAACCCCAGTATCAGAAAAGTTGAGTAATTTTTACTTAATTTCATTGAGTTGATATTTACACTTCCATTTCTACTCGCTTAAATTAAGTACTGATATGGAATTTACTTCGTTTTTTTTTTAATTCTTACCTGAACTAACTTTTTCATGTAAATTACATTGGTTTATTTTTTTTAAGTAGTATTTACTTCACCAAAAAATCATTTTTTACACATAACTAAAATCACAACTAATTTAACTTAGAAGTGAACATTCAAAAAAGTGATTACATAAATATGGTTTGCATCTTTAAAATGAAAGAAAGAAACCCAGGAAATAAACTTAAATGTAGCGCCATCATCTTTAAGGGCGATTAGGAAGTTCCCTGTTATGTTCAGCGTCAGCAGGTAATTCGGTGACTCTTGTTTTCTCATATGATGAGTCATATTAAGCTGAATAGAAGTAGAAAATTAATAATCCATTGCAGTGGTTAAGCCTTTTTTTTTTCTCTATATCTGCATGGACAAGCAAACAGTTGTTTCAGCTTGCACTGATTAGGCGAAGCTAGCTCCCATGAATATTTGATTACATGTCCATCCATGTGGAAATGAACATAAATGTAAATTTCTGGTTATTCATCCGATTATGAGGGGGGAGCATATGTGTGAAAATATACTCTTAAGTCCATGGTTCAGCAGCATGTTTCAAACTATTGTTAAAATAAAACTCATGCAGGCAGCTATAATCACGATTTTGACACTAGCAATCTAACAGAAAATCGTTGTATTAGTATAGAACAAGCTCCAGATGCTTGATGCAGGATAGTGGCAGATGGGAAACTTCGAGGTGAAGGGAGAGAGAGGGTTTAGATGGACCATAATTGATGCCTTTTTGCTGGTGAGAATCTCTGTTGAGAGGCTTGTTCCCCACTTTTGTCAGATGCCAATTTACTTTTCATCTTTTAAACTAGCCAGACTCTACAAAAAAGCCCACAAGGACCTCCTCTGTTTTCTTGTAATTAGCTTTGAATCAATTTCCTCCCCGTATTCAATATTCAGCCCACACTCCCTTTGAATATTCATCCATAAACGTGCCATTCTGGTGAGTCTGCTTCTCATTTCTTGTGAAGCTTTCCTGATTACACAAGAGATTTCAAATGTGCCATTATTTACTCGCCCTCATATCATCTCAAAACTCCATGGTTTTCTTTCTTTGACTGAAACATTGAAAGAGATGTTTAGAAGGATGTTCATACTCTAAGGGTTCTGTCAGGAGCTTCATATATAGAACATTTTAGGGGTTCCCATCATGAGATCATGTTATGGATTTAGTTTTAATCAATTTTTGATTTTGATTATATGTAATGAATTAAACGTTTCATAAACATTCTTTATCACTGGAAAAAAATGTAAAAAAAAAATTGTTAAACATGAGTATTATGCAGTCATTTAACCTTCAAATGGTCTTCGTTTTCTGTTTACACTTCTGGGCTCAAATTGATTGAGTAATTGTACAAAAATATACATTTTAAATGATACAATGATATCTTTTTTTTGTTTACTTCTCATCTATTCATTAATGCTGTGTTTTTGGAGATATAAAGTACTTTTGTATCCATATACCACACAATTCCTCAACTACGCCATTAGCTTGCAAATGAAATATTATTTTTTTTATGATACATTGCATTTATGCTCTAGTACTAGGCCTTCATTTCTGTGTAAATTCATTTCTGTTTCTGTTTCTTCATTTTTTCAGATTTATGCCAGATTTTTTTTTTTTGACACATGAAGAAAATATATTTAGTTTGTTTTCACATTTCCCATATTGACCCCAAAGACCAGAAGTGTAAACATTTTTTTGACATACCTTCAGAACAACCGAATCAAGACCAGTTTTTTGTGTGTGTGTATAGATAGATGAAAAGTCAAAAAATCTTTTTCCACTGAGATGAAGGTAACCTTTTTTTTATTAAATAAAAGTCGATTGGGGCCGTATAGACCCCATGACGCAATTGAGGGATACAACAATTAAACTATGGAACTGTTTTGGCATAAAGAGTTCCTTTACCGATGTGTGCATGTTAGATGGATGGACGGACAGTAGACAAAAGGACAAAGAGTCTGAAACATCCTTTATCATACTGTAAATGTGAGTAATCTCTTTCTTACTGTACCTTGCAAGAAACATTATTTATCAAACCTTATATTTTTATAAGGTAAATATTTAATAGCTTGGTGCCCATGAGTAATCATCGACAGTGGCTCTGTTTTTACACACCTAATGTGTACCATGATTCATACCATACCATTCTTTATTATTTATTTGACTTTTTACTTTTATTTGACTTTGTGCCACTTTTGGGTTGAATTATTCAGTGTGCTTAGTCTGGGAGACTGACCCTGTAGCAGAAATTTTATGTTGAGTGCTTCGTAGTGCATTTTCAAATATGTAAATGTTCAAACATTTGATTGGCATTTCATGGTACATTTAGAGTTGTTTAAGACAAATGCACATTTATTTTTGAGACTGCATTTTTGAGTTAACAGAGAAGGAATGCAGTGAATATGTTATGAAACACCTGGCTGATAGCGATTTAATTACTGTCTGATTTGGCAAATCTCAGGCATGTACTTGGCAGAAGGGCTCTAATCGCTCATCTTGTTAATGTGTATATTTTATCCCTTATACTCCTGTAGTTTTCTTGACCAAATGCATCATTTTATAAGTCTGGGATTCTGAATAAGAGACACTCAGGAAGTTAAAAGTGTGTAATTGCACCATTTTAGAACAATACTGTAGACACAAATTAATATGCACATTATTTTCCACATCCTGCTGATTTCAGTGCAAAATTAATAAATGTACGCCTGAGGGCGCAGATGACTTAAAGGAGTAGTTCACTTTAAAAAAAAACTTTTGCTGACAATTTACTCACCCCCATGTCATCCAAGATGTCCACGTATTTCTTTTTTTAGTTGAAAAGAAATTAAGGTTTTTGATTAAAACATTCCAGGATTTTCTCCATATATAGTGGACTTCATTGGAAACCAAACTGTTCAAGGTCCAAATGAGAGTTTCAGTGCAGCTTTAAACGACTCCAGACGATGAATAAGGGTCTTATCTAGGACCCTTCGAGTCATGACTCGAAAAAATATTTGTTCATTTTGATGAACGAGTTTGAACATGAGAGTCACGAACGCTCATCAGAAAACAGAGCAAGGCGAGCATTTGTGCTTTATAAAACTTAAACTTTTTTATTTATTTTTTAAATGACTGATCGTTTCACTTGATAAGACCCGTATTCGTCGTCTGGTGTCGTTTAAAGCCCTTTGAAGCTGCACTGAAACTCTCATTTGGACCTTGAACCGTTTGGTTCCCAATGAAGTTCATTATATGGAGAAAATCCTGGAATGTTTTCATCAAAAACCTTAATTTCTTTTCAACTGAAGAAAGAGAGACATGGACATCTTGGATGACATGGGGGTGAGCAAATTATCAGCAAAAGTTTTTTTTAAAAGTGAACTATTCCTTTAAAGGAAAACATAACATTAGAAAAACCATCAGTGGTCTAACACTTACGCTTCATCTGTTTTCCGATGCCTAACAATATGAAAGCAGCCAAGTGAATAAAACAAAAAGGGGGGAAGAATGAACAGAAAGTGCCGCAGATGAAAGTACTTTTATAATACAGTATTAGAGAGTCCATGGCCTTTTATGCAGCCTGACAGTGTTTTGTGCATTTTCCTTTGAAGATGGTGTGCAGTATACCTAAATACTGTGCAGTGTACAAAACACAATCCATACTACATTCAAGGTCTTTGGGCGTACACTAGACTCCTCATGCACTTCAGTTCATAATTAATCTGAGGTAAATTACAATATTAGATGCATTCACTAGCTTTTTGTTTAAAGTATAACAAGCATAATTGCATTAACTAGAAATTACTGAAATGTAAGCGGTTATGATTTATGTGAGGTCATGAAGTGTGGTGTATAATTTGTTTTTTGTTTTTTTATGCTTTTACAGAAATGCGCTCCATAAATGCAGGATGTTTATTAGGTCATTTTCATTTGGCTCATTTGCCATCTGCTGAACTAAAGCCACATGAATATATAATGTTCATATTATGCAATAAATGGACATGTATTATTTATTTTAAATCTTTGATAATTATATCAAGACATTTTATTTTAAAAAATCTATTTAAATACTGTAAATCTATTTTAAATTTATGTAGGCTAATGCAATATCAAGCTCATGCCGCAGGAAATCATAGCGGAAGCTCAGATGCCAGTTTTATACAACAGTTCAATAAACAAAAAAAGTAATAATGTTGAGAACTAACATTTATGGGATATTTTTAGAAAAAAAAAAATTGCCAATTATTTTGTCTGTGTTTGCTCTGGCCAAGCAAATAATTCCAAAAAAAGTCCCCATTTGTTAGCAACAGTGTTTTGTTATGTGAAATGCAGCATCAGTGTTTTTGATTGAATAAGTTGAATATATAATAAGATGACTCACTCATAAAAATGATCATATGTTCCATTCCTAAATGAATCGGTTCAAAAACAGGCACTTGTCTCAATTATTAAAAAATCAACTGCTAAAGCACAGACTGACTCACCTTAAAATAAAATATAAGAAATCATCATAATAATAATATTTGTAATATATTTTATGTAAAACATTTAGCACTTTACCATGAGGTCCCATTAGTTAACGCATTACCTAACAAAAAGTAATACGTATAGTAAATTTAATTAATTGTTACAGGAGTTCCCATTAGTCCGTGTTCGTCACATTAGTCTTACAAAATGTATTAGTAAATGTTGAAATGAACATGAACTAAGGTTAATAAATGCTTTAGAAGTAATATTAGTTCATAACTAGTTAACTAATGCAAATGGAACCTTATTAATGCGTTACCAATGTTTTAAATGTACGTGTTATCAAAGAATATACTGAGAATGCATGCTTAACTTGCTACACCTTTATTGCATTGAATTATTATTTGATGTATTATACTGAGTTGTATTACAGAAGGGTTTTTGTTAAGTAAACCTCTAATGGACACTTGAGTGCAGTGCTTCACATTAAACTAATGGACATGCATAATTAATACATTGCCTTAAAATACCACTAAATGAATACAGAAGCACAATGATTTTTTTTTTTCATAGATACCACCTGTGTGTATTCGTAGTAGGAATTTTGATAAACAGTAAGAAACAAATGCAAACTGACCATGCCGACAAAGTTATGGAATCATGTACCAATATAGCGCACAAACGAATTAGACAAAGAGCAAGCCAAAATGGACGTGAGGCTATATCTCTGCAAAGCCTTTAGCATATTCACGCACAACTTGGTACAAGTCAGCACAAGCATGACCTGAGGGTACACCAGTAGCTTTGGCACAGCGCCATCTACTGGCCAGGAGATATGAAAAATCGGTTCACATGTTTAACATTTCTAGCAGATACAAACATTTCCCCTCAGGGCTCAATGACTAATTTCATATAGCTTTAAGAAAAAGAATCATTGGTTTAACAAAACAGTTGTGGTGGTACAGAATTTGCCTTCAGGCTGTTCAGTTCTAGCACCTAAAGAAGCAACAACTGTGTGGTGAAGATTCAATCTTGTGAAATCTTACTAATGGCCATGGGAATGTCATCTAGAGTACTAGAAGTATTCATGCGGATCATTCGGATGGAGGTTGTGAGGCTGCTCTGAGTACGATGAGGTTTTCTTCTTTGAAATAAGTTCTGGCATAGATATGACAGGAACTTCTTGTGAAGAGAAGCATAAATGAAGGGGTTGTAGCAAGCCGAGCTCATGGCTAGCAAGTGGCACGACACCTGTATCACATTGACGTGATTCTTGCTCAGGATGGCGAAGTCCGTGTCCAGGTCGCGAATGAGGTTGACTACCTGCAAGGGGAGCCAGGAGAACGCGAATGACAGCACAGACACCAGGAGGAGACGAAAAGTCTTGCGTCTCTTGCGCCCCCACTTTTCCTGGTTGGAAGGTGTAGCGGCCATGAGCCGAGTAGCTCTGTGCTGCAGGTGGCAGGAGATTGCGCAGTAGGAAATGGAAACTGCTGCTAGAGGAACAAAATAGGAAAGAAGCAGGAAGAAACATGAATATATTAGACGACCGAGCTCCTGCTCGTGCCAGAACTCCTCACAAACTGCCATTTCGTGGCCAGTTGCACTCAGGTCCAGGTACACCGTGTGCAAAGCAGTGGGGGTGGACATTGCCAAAGCACAGAGCCATACGCTGACCACCAACCAGACGCAGAAGGAACGACCTCCTCGCCGCCGAATTGGGTAGGCGACCACCACGTATCGGTCCACCGCGATGGCGGTTAATGACAGGACTGCCGCAAACGCAGTCGCAGTCTGCATCAGGGTAACAAAATGACACATGAACTGTCCGAAAACCCAACCGCGCTCATCAAAGGCGTAAAACGCGGTCAGGGGAACGCAGAACAGGCACATAACCAGGTCAACCAGGGCCAGGTTTCCGATGAGGAAGTTTGTGGTGCTGTGAAGTTTCTTGTTCAGTCCGATGTGGATGAGGAGGACAAGATTTCCAGAGCACGCTACCAGGACTAGCACTGCATAAAGAGGGATGAAGAGCGGCTTCAGGTCCATCAGGAGCTCGAGTCCACTGAACGATGACGCGGATGCATCTAAAGACATGTTTATCCACGATTCGTTATGTAGATAGTCCATGGTGACAGCAAACACAGGCACCTGTTTGAAATAAATTGAATAGATATGTAAACAATGTATAAACTTTAATTTTATATAGCCTACACTCATTTGGAATTTTGAGGTAAGCGTTTTTTAAAGAAATAGTTTTATTCAGCACTGTATCTCAAAAGTGACGACATTTATAATGTTTCACATAAATGCTGTTCTTCTGAACTTTCGTTTCATCAAAGAAAGAGTTTTCAACATTGATAATAACAACATGACATCATGACTTTTGCGTTAACATACACACCACTTCTAAGTCAAGTGGCGTGTTATTTACACTCATTTTGAGCTATGCGTGTGTATGCGTGTATGTCTACGCCGTTAAATGTCTGAGTGAAACAAAGCAAAATGTAGATCTACATCTGGGGAGTGATATTTTTTTCCATAGGATGTTAGGGGAAGACTCATAAATGGTATTAACCCCAGTGACGGGTAGGTTTAGGGACGGGGTTGGGGTAGGTCATATATATATATATATAGTAATGTAACGTTAAGTCAACGGCGTTCATAAACACGTTTAAAAGCGATTATGCATGTTGATGGCACGCCAAAAATGAAAATACGAATTGGCGTGTCATGCATACGCCATTTCATGAGATCAATCTGATGATAATCAATTCAGCGTCAGAATAACGATCTGAGGATCATGTGACATTGAAGACTGAAGTAATGATTTCCCATCACAGGAATAAATTATGATGTATATGTATTATGTACTCTGATGTATAAATATGTGATTCTGGATCTCAAAACCAGTCACAAGTAGCACGGGTACATTTGTGGTTTTTTTTTTCTTTAATGCCAAAAATCATTAGGATATTAAGTAAATATCATGTTTAGTAAATATCACGCTTTGATTTTACGCCTTTGATATTAAGTAAATCTCATGTTTCATGTAGATTTTCTACCATAAATATATAAAACATTTATTTTTGTGAGTGAATGATAAATCATGAATATAAGTGGACAATTTTAAAGGCGATTTTCTCAATGTTTCGATTTTTTTTTTTTTGCACCCTCAGATTACATATTTTCTAATAGTTGTATCTCGGGCAAAATTGTCCTGTCCTAGCAAACCATAAATCAACTGAGAGCTTATTTATTAAGATTTCAGAATATGTTTACATTGACCCATGTGACTGGTTTTATGGTCCAAGGTCACATATGATGATGTATTGCCAAGACAAACCGATGAACGACATGATTAAAATTATTATTGATATTCAAAATTTTGGATATTGCTTACAGGCAATTTAAATAGGAAGTTTAACAATCTTCTAAATGTCTTGAATTTAACTGTTTTCATGCTGTTGGCAGCTAATAATTTACCACACAAAACACTGTGGTGGTCAGTTATGTAAATTCACATTTAATTTAGACCGGGTTGTATTTTCTTTAACCTTGCAGTCAGAAAAGATCTGCGACCCATTTTTGAGAACCAATGATGAAGCATTTTGGTCTGAAACAAATTCAGTACCTCTTTAGATCTAAATGCCCTTTGTTAAAATAAACACAGATCACTACACCGGACAGGATTGGATGGTTTATTTGTGTGTAATTTAAAGTGGATATGTACTCGAACAAGACCAATCTCTTTTAAATAAAGGATAGACTTAAATGGCAAATTAATCTACAACTGATTAAATGAACTGATCATATTGCAGAAACAGCAAGTGAATCTTCTCTTTGATCGGTTCTCTGACCTCACATAAGTGATAAGATACACAAATATTATCTTGACGTGATTCATGACTGCTTATAATTTTTGACTTCAATCATTGCAAGATTGAGATATCAGTTTAAGTCTTTCACCATTTTCTGAAATCTACAGTGCATTAGGTGTACTGAGGAGGAACCAATTTTATCTCTTTGAAATAAAATTCCATCAACAGCCATTTGAACATACTTGTAAGAAGTCACTTTAAATTGGCTAAGACTGAATAACTTCAGCAGGCATTTTGGCTTCTATCTATTAGAGGACCCTTATACAAGATGTTAGATGCTCACAAGTGTTCACTAGAGGATAAATGGAAAAATATGAAATAATAGAACAAGAAAACACATCAGAGCCTGCTTATTATTTCAGCTAATTAAATAGATGGATTTACCTTTTGCCAAAAAGCCATTAACAGGTTGAAATAACAGCAGTTCCCAGTTGTTCATTCACCTGAACATTAACAACATTGTGAGACTGGCAAAGTCATGCATGTTGCATTTAATTATACAGTGATTGAGATCGGTTCTGTTGGGTAATCACAGAATGATCCCACCAAACTGGATGAATGACACATCTCAAGTTTAAAGGAAGAAGACAGGATTACTAAGATCATTCTCTAAGCACGAGAGAGAAAGGCAATTTAACCGTTGGTTGAGTCATATTGCCCACAACCCTAAAAGTCAGATTCAATCTAATAGGCTATACTGTAACTCAAGAGTGTGAGATGAGCAACGAGAGCCTGACGTCACACATTTTCCTCTGATGATAAATGAGTTTAGAGGACGAAACACTCCATTGGATGAATAAAATTAATGACTGATGAGCAATTATTTAATCTAACATCCGTCAAATGCATGTTTTCAATAAAGATACGACTGTAATTCTGAATATTTGCATTTACAGACAATTATTGGTTTACTTGATTAATCAATTAAAAATCCTTGCAACATTGTCTGATTGTTTAATAGGCAAATTTAGCGTTCTAATTAAAATATTATTGCGATAAACACACTGCATTATTTCAATAAGGATGAATTGCCCACCTTTGTCCTCTTGATCACTTCTTCAGTGGATGATGCATGATCCAAAAGCACTTAGCCTACTCTTTAAAAGGATACAGGTAAGACTTCTTCACAGACTGAGTAAATCACTACGTTGTCTATTAAATGCGACCCGTGTAAATGTCCCTCTTGAAAGCTTCACAACTTGTGTAGGTTATAGATTCGGCGCGAAGATCGCCTCCAGACACGCGCATCCTTCAACACGTCAATGCGCGCAAGTGAGGACCCTTCAGTAACGACCAGCCTGCTTACATAATCCAACATTGTTCCAACACGATTTCAGACCTCGTCTGCTAAATGAATAAATCTAAGAAAATTAATTTAAAAAATAAAATCGACAAAAAACAACAGTTAAACAAAAAAATATATATAATTAAAAATGAACGCATTTAAATACAATTCTTATTTTGAATATCCAACGTCCAGCAGCTCGCAAGGTTTTGAGACACACCCACGTTTTCGTATTAGTAATGAAAGAACTACACTTACAAATAAACAAACGAGACACTGAAAAGAGGCGTTGACCAATTAGCTTTTCTCTCCAAGCTTCATTAATGTATCGAGGAAATATTCAAATAAATAATCAAAAATAGCCTAATCAAAATATTGTAAACTACCCCAACAACAACTTATGATGTTGAGGAAGAAACTGGAAGCAGAAAAACTTACATTTTAATATTGAATATAGCACTCATGCAATAAATATTTTTTACACACACAATATTAAATTTGTATGTATAATTAAAGAGGTCAGCTGAGGAACAAAGCTATAATCATATGCTATAATGCTTCCAGAACAAAATGACAGGAATGCCCTAAAGGTGTGACTCATCCATATTCAACAATAGTGACATCTATTGGTTAATGCTGGGCAAACATATCAGTATGCATCACTACAAAGGTCACAAAGGAATCTCATTATGGCTCCTTCAGAGTTTTTATTATCCTTTTAGATAAAGCGAACAGTTACTAAAATGTTTTAAAACACACACAATTCTCTACTCATGTTTGATTTAGTCCACTAACCTACATTCAAATTTAGGAGAATGTTCACATGCCAGACATTTGATTATCAATTCATACAAATGCGTAAATAAAATGATGTAATGAAAAAAATGTATGTTTGGTTTAGGGTATACAAGTTTCAATACTACAGGAAAGGAGTAAGTACATAGCAAAAAAAAAATCACAAGTAAATAATAAAAATACATTTGATGATACATAAATGGAATGTTTCATGATAATGTAGTGAAGTTCCTCTGGCTGCAATGTCTCCAAGATAGAGATTTTATTTTTTTAATCACTCATGTATTTCTTTCAATATGATACAGTAATGTACCTTGAATTGAAAACTGGATTAAGGGAGACAAACAACCAAAGACACCTTCATTTATCTATGTGAAACAAATGATCCCATTAAATGGATCATAATTTAGTTGCTTTCCACAACAAGAGCCCATATACTCTTAATTCCCCTAATACTGCTGGTCAGGTTATCGCTGGAATGTGATTATTTCTCTGGGCTTGGGCACTCTTCCTCCTCACATGGCTTGTCAGTTTGGGCTGAGCTAGCAAGAGCCTCACTGTTCTGTGTGGGCAAAAGAAGTAACTCCAGCTCCTCTGCATTGATGGCCACCCTTTCAGGAGACATCCAGCGCTTGAACTGCTCCAAAGCACTGCATGAAAAGACAACACTGAATAATTACATCCACACTAAAATCATTTGACCATAGAAATTATAAATGGCATTTGTTCAACATAATCAGAATGAATGGCTCCTAAAATCTTGACCCAAATCCTAATTATTAATAAAACAGGCTCTTAAAAAAAACATGGGAGTTATATGTGGGCATCGTATCTGGCTTAGTAGCAAAACATATTTATATGCGATGTTGGTTCACAGACTCAGTCGAAGAGCAAGTCAGCAACAGAATGGTTCGAGCAGAATAAATTCAGTTTTTTAGATTGGACAAGCCAGATCCTGACCTTCCCCTGACATTTTACTGTGTAATCTAAAGTAGACCATTTCTGTGAGAAATGGTCTACTTTAGATTACACAGTAAAATGTATGGAGGAATGGCTGTGTTTTTGTAAGAGTAAATTTGCAGAGGTTATAGTCAACATCACACAATTATTAACAATTAATAAACTATGACCATTCAGAAATATGACTGGGTTTCTAAAGATACAAAGCTTAATGCAAATGGGTGAAGTGTCCCTTTAAGAGAGAGATGTTATTCAAATTAGTTATAATCTACAATTAAAGTGAGGAAAATGATACAAGTTGAATTTTTACAATACTTGTAGACGATGATAAACGAGGGTGAATAGTTCAAGATGCCTCATCCTAACCTCTGATCGAAGTTTCCTTCCTGGAACAGTTCTGAGGTTTGGGCATCGTGGAGGAATCTATCCCAGCATTCCTTTTTAGCCTGGGACAAGGAACGGAGCATTTCCCTTGACGTAACTTCATTTGATTGTCCCTTGATCCTCTTCAATCGATTTTCTGTACAGTAGAAACACAACACGCTCTTAAAGAACAAATAAACAGGCCATATTTAAATAACATGATTATCAAATGCTATTCCCTGTACCTAAACTGGCAATGTAAATGTCAGAATCAGCCATTGGTTCCCAGGGGCTAAAAGATGCTCTGGGTGAGTTTGAATGTGGGTTGCCTGGTGAGGAAGGCTCAAATGAGTCTGTAAATTGCCCAGCATCCTGTTCCTCAGGCTCTGGGAGACTTGAGCAGATCTCAGACCACAGTTCTCCACTAGATCGAGCCGCGTGGATTTCAATGTCGTCAATCATCACGTTTCTGAATGGAAAATCATTTATAAACAAACTCGCGTGTTGAAGTTATACATGGGATATCAACAATCATGGGTTGAAAATGAAAAAGGCAGCCCTGTCATGTTTTCTGTGACTAAATAATGCAAAATAGTGTTCATTTGCTGGTTGTTTACATGGCAAGCTCTCAAAAATCTTAACGACTGTTGACATTGATTACTAGCTCTTTAAGCGAGCCCGTATAATGGAGCTGTAGAAAATGATCAATCTTAAAACTAAAGCAGTGGTGCCTACCTTAAAGTACAATGCTCTCAATGCAGCACAGACCTAAAATCACACATTAAAAGGAGAAATAAATTCAAGAGTTAGCATGTAAAACCCATACTTCTGATTGCTTTGCCTTCTCTGCTACGGAGATGCACGTAACCGGCAGGGATTACCCGTCGAATATGATTGGTCGTCACACCTGTCCGTCAATACTTCCGTGAATACGATTGGTCGAAGAGATACGTTTGGAAACGCTACTTCCGTTTACTTCTTCAGCACATTGACATCGGGTCGAATTTTTCAAGTAGGACATTTGATCTCTCTTGGCAGTTATGCATTTAGTCTATAATCTAGCATTTTAAAACAACATTGTGTAAACTTGTACTTGAGGTGCTGCATATTGTTATTGTATTACTCTTTAATGTTTAGTTGTGTGATAAGAAAACCACGTATAACATTTTAAAGCCCAGTTTGTTGCGTATATATAGAATAATATTCTGTTATTTCTGGTTATTTCACTGTCTATTTGCTGTTTGGCTTGCAACATTTAGGTCAGATCCGATTCTCCTGTTTGTTGACCTGAATCAAGGAAGGACGCATATTTGGACGCATCAGTGGTCTGAGGTCTAAAGACGGGTATCCAGACATTAAAGTTATTAAAATGAGCAAACACAGCATAACATGCGTCACAAGTCAAATTCAATTAAACTTACTCGTTTGGTTTAAACATCATGCATTCTTTTTTAACAACTCTCATTGTACCCTTCTGGAAAAAAAGCTTAGGTTTGCTGCTTTATTCCTCCCAGCTAGGCGAGACTGCTCTTGGCTGGATTAAAAGGGGATTTCTAGACTTTGTAGACCAGCTTGGCAAAGAATAAGTTGTTTAAGTTGGTTCTTTTTTCAGCAGGGTAATAACTGAAGACTCAAGTCAGGTGTATCTCAGAGTGAAAAGACTGTCTGAACATGAAAGTGATTTTTGTGGAATGAACAAGAAATGAAAATGTGATTTGTTGCAGGCGGTGCCAGTCAGGCAATGCAGACTGTGCTCAGACTGGCAGCAGTAGCGGTCCCTATGGGTTTGCTGCTCTCCAGAACCATGGCATGGATCTCTAGTGGCAAAACACATATAGAGCTCATCACTCGCTTGAGAGGTTAGTGGAGAGATGTATAAATAGATAGAGACATAGATAGTCATATAGGATGTTATTGTACATATGTATGTCAATACACAGATTTATGTAATTTAATGGATATAGATTTACTAGCATAGCATATGTGTTTTTCTGTGACAGATCATGGAGTTATCCACAGTGACCGAGTCTTTAATGCTATGCTTGCCACCGACAGAGGGATTTATTCAAGAGACCACCCTTATGCTGATTCTCCCCAGTCCATAGGTGATTTCTTTCAACATCAGGCATGTTGGTTTCAAAATAGATGAAATAAACTGAAGAGTGCTGAGCCATTTTTCACTTACACATTGTTGTTTTTTCTCTCTATAAAGGATTCAAGGCTACAATTAGTGCCCCTCATATGGTAAGTCAGACAAACCCTTCTAAAAGTAGATGTAACTGTCATATTTAATATGTTCTAATGAATGAATGATTGCTTGTGTAGCACGCACATGCTCTTGAGGTTCTCAGTGACAAGTTAAAAGAAGGAGCCTCAGCCCTGGATGTGGGTTCAGGAAGTGGATATCTCACTGCATGCTTTGCCAGAATGGTGAGTGCAGTCTTGTTTCAGCATGTCATAAAAGTTTTTGATATAATTTTTCATTTTTATAATTTTTATAAAAACAAATACCTGCTGCAAATGATCAGAAAAAGAATAAATATACAGTATATTAATCCTATATATACAGTACTGGTCAAAAGTTTTAAGCATTACTATTTTTAATGTTTTTGAAAGAAGTCTCTTATGCTCATCAAGCCTGCATTCATTTTCTAATATGCTTATTTGATTCTCTGTTATGATCAGATGTGCTGCTTAATTAAAAAAAAAAAATCTGGGAATCTGTGATACTTTTCAGGATTAGTTAAATAGAACAACATTTATTCAAAATAGATTTTTTTTCTAACAATATAAATCTTCACTATCACTTTTAATCATTTTAACACACCCTTGCTGAATAAAAGTAATAATTTCTTTAAATATATATATATATATATATATATATATATATATATATATATTTTTTTTTTTTTTAAATGACTGAAACATTACTTTTCAAAAATTACTTTACAAAGTACTTTTTACTTTTTTGAAAATTCAGCTTGTTCTGATCACAGAAATAAATTAAGTAAATTAAAATAGAATTTTTTTAATTGTAATAATATTTCACAATATTTTTTAACAAATAAATGCAGGCTTGATGAGCATAAGAGACTTCTTTCAAAAATGTAAAAATAGTAATGTTTCCAAACTTTTGACCAGTACAGTATATAGAATTATAAACCACACCCATCAGTGCTTATATATTATGTTATATGTTTTTCAATATGTTTAACAATGTTTATACTGCAGGTAGGGCCCTCTGGAAAGGTGGTGGGAATTGAGCACATAGATGAGCTGGTGCAAGCCTCTATGAAAAATGTCCAGGCGGACGATCCAGAATTGCTTTCCTCTGGACGAATTAAGTTAGTGGGTGAGGGATTAAAATAATAGATTCAAATGAATTGTGTTGTATTTTTTTTAGGGCTGTGCAAAAATTAATTGCGATTAATCGCATCCAAAATAAAAGTCTGTGTTTACATAATATATTTGTGTGTGCTGTATATAATTATTTTGCATATATAATTACCTATGCATGCATGTATATATTTAAGAATTATTTGCGCTTAAATTCTGCATATATATATAAATACATAATCTATATTTTATAAATATAAATATTTTATATATGAATAACACATTTTCTTAAATGTATACATGCATGTGTGTGTATTTTTATATACAAAATAATTATATACAGCACACACAAATATATTATGTAAACACAGACTTTTATTTTGGATGCGATTAATCGCAATTAATTTTTGCACAGCCCTAATTTTTTTATACATAGAAGCACAAACATTGCCAATTTGACTTGTTTGTTTGCATTTTATGAATGAAGAATGTTTCTAAATATTTTTTGTGTTGTGCTTTTTTGCAGTGGGTGATGGACGGTTAGGTTTTCCTGATGAAGCCCCCTATGATGCCATTCATGTTGGAGCAGCTGCGCCTACACTCCCTAAAGCTGTATGCACAATATGCATTTGATTTAATTGTTGTTTATACAGCCTGCAGTGGTCTGATTTAAACATGTGTATCAACAGCTTCTGGAACAGTTGAAACCAGGTGGGAGACTTGTTTTGCCTGTGGGCCCGGAGGGTGGAAGCCAAGTTCTCGAGCAGTATGACCGTCAGAGCGATGGCACTTTCCTCAGGAAAGCGCTGATGGGTGTGGTTTATGTCCCACTGACAGACAAACACCACCAGTGGCCAAGGTATTTATTAGTTCTTATGAGATGAATCAGATTCAGAACGCAGTGATTTATATTGCACTGAAGCTCATCACATTTGTTTCTCTTCCCAGTGATGAGCTCTGATTGCAGTATGGTTCCCCCTGCAGGAGATGGCGCTGGTGCTGTGGTTCAGCAAGCCCTTAGTGCTGAGGGGAGGCCTCTCATCCCATCTCACCTGCTGCCTAGCAACACACTCGTCTGGATCATTCGGATTCTTGACTAAAAACTGAAGTTCAAATGCAGCAGTGGATTGAAATGAATGCTGTATTTTCTGAGGTGGTGTTCCTTCACATACTTAAACTGAGGGAGCAAGACCTTCCATAGGGCTTGTGATTTCAGTATGCTACATAAGTGGCTATTTGTTCAGCTTTAACATACTAGACAGTGAGAAGCACTCAAAATAGAGTACAGTTCTAAATGTAACTGCTACCTTTTGATGTTTTTTTTTTTTGATGTCTCACTGCTCACTCAGTGTATATGTCCAGGCTTATATAAATGGGAAACAAAAATACTTTTAGCTATTGAAATTAAGAATGAGTTAAAAAATGTATTCTCTTTTTCTTTTTAATTCTGTGTCAGAGTCAGATGTTTTGTTGAAGTGTTTCTGTTGTCTAATCAGCTGTGTAATTTGACAAATTTAATTAATCAAAGAAATGTTGTAATAATCTAAGCTAAATGTACACAATTAAATGTAAACACAACTAGGCATTGTGTTTTTCCCCACAAATTGGTAAAGCTGTCAGAATCTATTAACTTTTTTTATTACCGTTAAATATAACAGTATAGAGCAGTGCATTAAAATAACATAGGGAAAAACAAGGAAAACACTGTGTAAAGAGATATTAAATAAATAAGCTGACCATTGTCATTAAATAAAATAAGCAATTGATTTTTCAGGTAAAAATTGTTTTGAATAATTTTTATTGTAAATTTCATCATGCCAAGAAAGTGAATAGAATGAAAGCAGATTTTACACCGATTTTCTACAAATAATTCGTAAACACATGACGTCACGGTGATGTCATCAACCCAAGACGGAAATAACATTGTCATTGAACCGCTGGATGGCATGGCTCACGTGCGTGAGGTGGAAGGTAGCAGGTTTCAGTTCATTACTTTGCTTTGTAAAAAGAGAAAACAATAATTTCCTGAGACACTTGTATCGGGACAAAAACGTGAGTGTTAAAACCCTGGGAACTCAACGAACAGCGTTAAATGTCAGGAGAAATAGTGTACAAGTCTCCTTTAATTTCTCAAAACAGCAGCGCTGCACACAGTTAAACGACATGGATACTAAAGGGGCAACCAGGGAAGAAGACAACTGTGATACAGAGAGCACGGTAAGAACAAACTGCGCTAAACGTAAACACGAGGAGCCGGATCAGGCAGCAAGACCAGGCCGCGATAAGAAGCGAAAGAGGGGCGGAAAACAGCAGCGTCCCGGAGAGAGGTACGTGCCGCCTCCACAGAAACGCAACCCGGGTGTGAGTTTCAGTCAAGAACATTTTGCGGAAACCTCCTACTATTTTGAAGGCGGTCTTCGGAAAGTGCATCCTTATTATTTTGATTTTAAGACTTACTGTAAGGGACGTTGGGTTGGTAAAACTCTGCTAGAGGTTTTCAAGAGTGAGTTTCG